GGGGGGGGGGGGGGGGGGGGGGGGGGGGGGGCGGTGTAGTGCAAAATAGAGAGTCTCTAGATTTTAGATCTCCGGAGGTTGGCAGGTATGCATTCACCAAAAATATCTGCGAGGACTTGTTTATCACTTGTGGTCCACCAAAAGATACCCATAAGGCTTTTCGGTTTCTTTCGTATAAACTGACATGAATGTTGTACGATTTTTATCGAACATCCGTTCCGCGATGATGCCTATTTGCTTCAATTCTGTCGCTAGGACTTCAGAAAAGAACCAAGTATTGGGCATTTCTACAAATGTCTGTGTTAAATTTCAACTTGGGAAACATATTCTGTAACAGAAGGATGACACTCGCATTTCGATGACGGCCTTGTGTAAACAACAGGGAAAGCACTGGACTTTCAGTGGCTTGTGACATCAAATCATCAAAGACTAAGATATGATGAAACTTGGGATTGATTTCATGTAAGTCGTCACTCAACTCAGGCAAACCTTGCACAATGGTAATGTCGTTTCCAAGACTCGACTGTAACTGCTCATAACGTCTCTGCCACTGATTATAGTACCAAGTGATATGTTTCGGTTTTTTACTGGGGTAACGTGTACACGGTGTTAACAGTTGTTCCACAAAATACGTTTTTCCACACTGGGTTAGACCCACGACTAACATAGAAAACATATGAATGAATTGAAACTCTGAATATGCTTTCGTCTCCAAACAGTGACTTGCTTGTGTCTTGGCTACTTTCAGTCTACTTGAGTGATCATCTACGACAAGTACATCATCTCACGAGTGAGGAACGAGAACCATGGATTAAAGCGGCTGTGTTTTCAAGTTACTCCTTATATGAGACCAAACATAGTCCCTTCATGGGTACCCCAGGGATTGTCTTACACTACCCCTCACATTTTATCTCATGGAATACCACCAGAGCCTCCGAGTATTAAACTTCAACAGCAACAACCAGTAAATCTGGTTTGTAACAGATAGGACAAACTCATCTGAATTTGTTCGGCATGTTTACTTCATGAACCCTTGAACACTTTAATGTAAATCAAGTAACTATCCCCCTATTTATGGTATCAGTCTGATGATAGCCCGATGAAAGTCCGATGAAAGCTCGATGAAGACCTCGATGAAAGTCCGATGGTAGCCCGATGAAAGCCCGATGTAAGGCAATGATGAAGTTTAAGTTTCATAGAAGGTAATTTTCATGAGTAGACCCATGTTCAAGTCCTCTTTTGATCCAAGCTGATCACTTAATCCTTCCAATATCTTATCCATGAACTCTTCTTTCAAGTGAACTATTCTTGTGTAGAATGTATCATACACCCAAAAGTGTTCTCGAGAATTTACATCAATTTTAACCGCATAAGTGGTTGGTAATTTCTCTCTCTGAATTATTTTATTTAATCCAATGAAGAAAGCTTCAACCATTTCTTGCATCACATTTTACCATGACTTAGGTCCGCGATTCTGTTTAAAGTTAACGACAAACCAAAATTGTCGATCCCTTTGTATCGCTTGCAAATACTCAACCTCAAACATTTCATCGCTTACAGATACATCACTGTATACTTCAGTTGTTCTCCCCATCGTGTAAGATTAAAAAATGATGTATCATCTACACAACACCGTTTGATATAACATCTCCCAAAAGATAATGTATTCATATCCTTGAAGCAATCATTTCAGCAGTAATATTTCTATAAGGTGAATAGTTACACACTGATTCTTATCATTTCACGTTAGGGAGTGATAGAGACAACATGTCAGAATCAACTATGGTCGCACCAGTTATTGATAATATAGAGGAAAAGCAATCAACCCCACTAAATCTATGCCTGTCAAGACTAAGCTCAAAGATTATCGACAGAAATTAATGACACTCAAAGCTAGGATACGTTATCGTGAACATGCGATTAAAGGATTCAGAAAACATCTCAGGAATGGTACCTTTACGCAAAGAATGAAATCCATTAAACCTTATCCTAAGATGGGTTCTCCTGAGTCCCAGAAAATCGTGGATGCTGCCTGTGATCAAGTACAGTGTGTCATTTTGGATATCATGATTCAGGATGAAGAAAAGAAACTGACGGAAGATCAAGAAACCTACAAAACCATTTTGGAACAGCGGCAATGTTAAGTAAGGATTAGCAATCACTCTAAGTAAATAGTTCTAGCAATGTTTACTGATTAGGGTTAAGTACTGAACTCTGCTGATTAGGGTTAAGCACTGAACTCAAGGGAATAGGGTTAGGCACTATCCACGACTATTAGGGTTGATTAGGGTTAAGCACTGTCCAAAACTGATTGGGGTTAAGCACTGAACTCGGGTGATTAGGGTTAAGCACTGCCACGACTGATTATCCGCTCTTAACAAGCGAATTTCAAGGGCCAGGGTTAGACATGACCCTCAAATGCAACGGTTAGTATTTGGGTTTAGAGTATCTAGCCCTAAGTTAGGGCTAGATACTCTCTGTCTTGAAATTTCAAGGTGTTGCAGTGAATCAATCTTAACGAAAGTTTCAGACATTATTACATGGATTATTAAGATTATGTAATGAGGTTTAAAAAAATTCTGTTGAGCCGTTCTAGAGATAAACAGAAAAACGCTGTAAGTCAAAGTTTAGAATAAAGTTACACTTAGACAGGTGGTGAGAAAACAAGTTAGCTTTCAGGGTCGCAAGAAAGAAAACGCACTAAAATTTTCAGGCAGCGAAATGTGATATTAAGACGCTTCTTATAGTAATATTAAGTTGTTATTTAGAACGTTTTTATAGCCAAATTCATTGCATCGCGCTGCGTGTTTGCAAACTTCAAATGGGTTTTTTTGTTCCGTCAATCATTTGAGTGGGCGTGGAGTTAATGCAAATCACAATGAAACGCACTCGCCCAGCTTGGCCCGCAAATGAAACTTCTCAAGAACAGCGAAGGAAATCGCGATGATGAGTGGAACTTTTGTTGAGGGCAGAAGGCAGACATTGCTTCATTCTTGCAAGAGACAAGAATAAGAAAGATCATAAAAAGCTTCGAGGCTGAGAACCTTGAAACAGAGAAACAAAGTGGATCGAAATGCACCAATCACAAGTAAACATGTGTTTTTTAAGAGGTCCGCTAAGATGATTGACGGAACAGAAAAACCCAAAATTCCTTCGAGGTTTGCAAAACGCGCAGCGCGATACAGCGAATTTGGCTATAAGAAACAATATATCACGGCT